AAAAAACAAACTTTACAACTTTGGCAAGAGGAGTGTAATCATGGAGATGGGAGGGCTGGAATGGTAGGGGAAAAACAAAGGAGGAGGCAACAATGCTTGATAAGAAATGTACTCTTTACTTTGCTCATGTAATTGTAAACCCTCTGTATAGTATTTTCACAATTAAAAAGACACTTATTAAAAGAAAAGAAATCACTGTGGTTTGAGGTCTATGAATTTCTTGCAGTTATTAGTTTCCAGAGTAATATTTACTTTTGCCCCCTGAAATTATGTTCAGTTCTTAAAAATATTGGCACCTAATCAAATGTAAAATAAAGGTGTGGGAAGTAATGTAAATAGACATCATAAATGTAATTGTGGAACAAATTAGTCCCATATGCTAAGAGTTTTAAGATCTCTATCATATATTACCTCTATGATTTTTTTCATGGCTTCTTTTTGAATTTCTGATTTAATAAATTTGTTAAACGTACTGTTTGAGCAAGCATTTTCCAATGCGTATGCAAGATGTGAAGAAAAATACAATCTATAATAGAGCATATCTATATGACACATAGACATGCATATATAAGCACACATCATGCATATGCATGAGTATATGTATATATCTGTATGCAAATGTAGGTATATGACACTTCCCTGTCATCTCAAATCCATGATTTGTGTATTAATGGCAGAACTTTATGTGAGAAAGACATTTTCTATTAATGAAAATTTAAAATAAAGTATAAATGAGTCAGAAAGTAATACATAATATCTGTTAGACATTTATATGTCTGTGCTATATTACAAGAAGTCAGTTTAGGCCTTTAAAATGTAACAAAGTTGCCAACATAATTGCTATATTCAAATAAATATAGGCTCTAACTTTCTATAATAATGATATTTGATTAGGAAAGCATAATTACAAGATAATGTAATATGCAATATAGTCTAAATATTGTTTTAATAAATATGGTATTTTATTATTTAAACATTACAGAATATATTATTTGTAACCCATGTTTTACATAGAGAAGTAACCTACACATATTTATCTCATCATACCTAGAATTGCACTTGGATGTATGGATTTTCTGGCGAACCACAATATCTAGTTAGTGAAGATTAATCTAGAATATTAAATGATATATACTTCTTTGTATATTGTTTTATTTTTTTCTTATGTAACTTTGCATATACATTTTTATGATGTTTAAGTAGTATAAGAGTTTCAATCCAATGTATCATTTGACATGTTATGACACCCTAATTGATGTCAGTTTTCCATCATTCTCCCCTATTTGTCCCAACCCTTATCATCCCCTCAAGTTACTTGTGGTCTTTTCCACTTATATACATTGAACATTACAACTTCATTTTCCACCACTCCTTTCTCCATTTATTTGACTACTTTTCCCCTAAACCTCACCTCATAGCTTAAAAAAATGTCATGGTAACTATTCTCACCACAAGAAAATTAAACAAGAATAAAAAAGTCAAATTCATCATTTTTTCTACGTTGCTTATGGTACGAAGAAGAGGGAACTAAAATGTTTTTTCTGAAAACAAACTGAAAAATATTTGTGTTGTTTTCTGAATTCATTTCTTTTAGAGTTTAAGAGGTTTTGTTTTTTTTTTTACAAAAATTAATTACTATTTTCTGCATCCATTTCTTAGATTTTTGGGGGTTTATAAACCATATATCCATATAAGAGTTAGAAAGACCAGTGATAGATTAGATCTGAAAACCTCTTGTAAGATGTTACACTGAGTTGGGACCAAAGGGGGAACAATTGTTCCATGTGGACCAGAGAGAAAGAAATCCTGTTTCTACATCTGTGCCCCTGATAGTTGGTGCTGTGACTTCCTCTCGCCTAAAGAGCAGGAGTTAGCACTAAATTTATAACAAAATCTCTTGTCACCACCCTGATCCAACAAAAGAATCCGAACAAAGTTATTCAAACAGGATCTCAACAGCTGGAAATGGTAGCTTCCAATGTCACCAGTATTAGCAGATACACTATTTGGACCAAAGGGATCCAATACTGGCAGTGACTTTGGGGAAAATGATACATGTATTTTATACCACAGTACTTCAGAACTGACGATAAGTAATAGGGTTGGCAAGGAGAACCATCAAATACAAACATAAGTAATTACTGCAGCAGTTTAGAGAGGACACAGAATTCTGGGAAGTGAGCCAAGATAAAGGTTAGAGTAAGTGTTTTTTTTAAAATGATGGATAAGGTAAAAAAAGAATTCAGTGCCAAAAAACTATAGTTGCAATAATTCTTAACTCATGACTACAGCTAAAATAGAAAACAAGCAAAGAAAAATAACACATAGTTGGCTTAAAATCAAATTTTAAATTGTCTAATTAATTTTACTTTCTTAGTGAATACAAGACTTTCCTTATTTTGTAAAATCAATTATAATCTTGTTCATTTTGAAGCAATCAATTTTAAATTAAGAACTGTATGCGAAGAAAGTTCCCTGAGTTTTAATTCAATTGATGTAAATAGAAAAATTGAATTTATATTGTATATACACATACTGAGACTCTTCTAAGGCAATGTGAGATATTTCATAGGAAATGAAAATAAGGACATTTAGACAAGAAGTGTATAGGCACAGGAAGACTGTGAATGAATTATAAGCTAAAAGCTAAATGAAGTGTTGACTTGTCATAGAATCAAGCAACTGGAAAGGTCAGATACAAGTAAAAAGCAAGAAAGGAGCAAGCCTACTATGAAGATCTAAATATTTATCAAATTTATTGAAGAGGGGAACATTTGAACAAAAGAACTTATTAGGAATTCAGGGAACTGCAATATTCACCTTAAATTTTCCGTTCTTCTTTTCTCTCTTTTACCTCACTTTTTCTGTCTTTTTTTCTAATACGTTTTTTATTGTAATAATATTGTACAGATGGGTAACAGTTACGTGAGCAAAGTAATGAATACATTTCCTATCAAGCATTGTTACCTCCTCCTTTGTTTTTCCCCTACCATCCCTTCCCTCCCCACCTCCACAACTATACTCTCCCCTCCTTCTGCCTAAATTGTAAAGTTCGTTTTTCAACATAGTGTCTTGTACATCTCATTGTTACAATGGGTTAACCTGTATCCCTTTTTAAGCATTCTGTTGTTTCCCTTCCCCTCCCCAAACTAGAGAAGTGTGCATACAAGATGCAGGGCACCAACATCAAATACAGTGAAAACAGGGGTAATACCGTGGGAGGAACATACAAAGAAACAAAAAAATCACATGGTATATTATAAACACATTAGAAACAATACCAAGAAAGAAAGAAAGAAGGAAAAAGCACTTGTGTCCCTATCTTGGTGTTCATTTTGCTTTGCTTTTTCAAGAGAACCTAAATACTCTGTATTTAGAGGAGAGAAACAAAATCAGCCAAGACCTGAGGTGTTCAGCAGTTGAGTAGAAAATGTCTTTCTCAGGAATGATGAGAAGGACTTCCATTTTTGGAGCATGTCTTTCTTGGTAGTAGGAGGATCATGACCTCTGACTGTAGTCAAGCAGTGATAAGTGAATAGGATATGGGAGTCAATGGATTCAGGAATATGGATTGAACATGACAAACAGGGAATGAAAACAGCACAGGAAAAGCCGCAAGACAGATGGCAGAGAGACTCCATAGTCAGGCTGAGCAATGTTGCTCTACAGCGTGGAAGCAGATGCAGTGAGCAAGTGAGCAGTGCAGATACTAGATTCCTTAAATTTCCCTAAACCTAAACCTAAACATGAGTAATACAAATAATAATAATGAATAGATGTTAAAGGAGAACAAAATCTACCAAAAGGCCAACTTGGTAAAAACACACATTTGCTTTATGTCTTTATTTTATTTGATTTTTAATTTTAGCTATGCACAAAAAATTTGAGTGGGTTTTAAAAGTCATTCAAAGTCATGTCAAAGTTTGTTCTTCAATGAGAGAGAGATGCTAACAAGTTTCTCCAGATTTAAAAATTTATTTTCATTTTGGTTTGTGTACTTTTTGTTTCCTTCCCTTTCAGTTATCTTGAGGTCAAATGCATGTCTTATCAACAGGCCTTGTAGAAGAAATAAAATGAAATAAAAATGAAGAAAACTAAATCTTGACAGCATCCTCAATAACATAAGCTCTTTTGTAAACAAACCCAAAAGTAATTTCCCAGGATGCTAGAGCTCTGGACCTCAGCTCTGAAAGAGCTTAGCCTTGTTGTTATTTTATCTATTCATCTCCTATTGGAAGTATCTGTTTTTCTATTGATTTTTTAAACTATTTTGAGTATATTCTCAAATGTCTAAGTAACATGCCATAAAACCTTAGGTACATGTTGAGAAAACTATCTAAACATTTCAATCAGAAAGGATTTACTAAAGACAAGCTATATAACCTGAATTCTTGGGAGTAAAAGAAGAGGAGGATTCATTTCTTACTATTAAATAGTGAGCTAATATTTGTTATGATGAACAATAAAATGTGTGAGCATAAGAAGATAAAACATATCTAGAATATCATTTTTTAGCTATATGGACAGTACAAAGTTGAAGATGATTTCCTAGATTTTAGCTACTGTACTTATCTGCTGAGTATATAATTTTACTTATATCAAAGCACTACAGGAATTAATGAGAATTAGATCATAAATTTTATTTAGAAATACTGTATTTCAATTTCTTACAAAAGATCTAATAGATGGATTAGGTTTATAGTTAGACAGAAGCGGTTTCAACCTCAGGATACCACATAGTACTATAAATACGGATAGAGAATAATAAGTAACTGCTAAATTAATGAACGAGACTGATGTTGGCTAGAGAAAAAGTAGAATAGCAGATAGACCTAATCTAGGTCAAAATCTCAGAATTTCAAGATATATTTAGTAGCTCAAGAAGTGACTTGTGAAAAATAGCCAGAGACACAGGGAAAATATCAAGAGAAGAATAGTAAAACAAGAAATATGTTCACAGTAGGACAATGTCAAAAGTAACAAATAGCATAAAAATGTCAACTGAAGGACCAAGAAGGTTGAGTCTGAGGAAGGAAGACTTCACTGATATACTTCTCCTAAATAAAAGATTTAGTGAGAACAGCTCTCATTGGAGAAAATCTCAGGGCTGACTGTATGGCCCATTGTACATCAGCTACAATTTTTGGTTCACTTTGTTCAGTTAAAAAAAGTGTGTTTGAATCTTAGAAGTATTTTTTTCTATTGAAATCTTTTTATTGTCCAAAAATGTATCAAATAAGATGAGAATTATTGTGTCTATTGACTTTAATAACACAAACCATCTTCACCTCAGCCAGAGCAATACTGTGGGAATATTTAAAACAAAAATAAAAAACAAGCTAGATTAACATAAGAAGTTCTACAAAAGTAAAGAACAAAACTTTGTGATGAAGACCTCTTTGACTTTGGTTATAGAAGTTAGATAGATAGAAAGAAAAGATGGAAAAAATGAACATTAGTTAAGAATTGGAAATGAACCATCATTTAAATGTACAACAATGTAGAAGTGAGAAGCATCTTGATTTGAGGGCAGGTCAAAAACTGGAATTATTTTATGAAGATATAATTGTCAATAGAAATACTATATTTTTTCAAAGTCTAGTAGAATAATATTAGACGTAAACAAGAATGATTTAGGCAAAATGTTGGATATCCTTGGATATAATCAGTGATATTTAACTTGGACTTAATGTGTCTTCCCACATATTTCTAAAAAAACAATACCAAACAAAAAGTCCTCTTGGCTATGTTTAGAGCTAGCTTTCCTCGGAGGAAAGGAAATATACAAGATAATTATCTACACAGCTTCCCTTCCCATTTTCTGGCACAAAATACTGAGATTACAATGTATTAAATATATTAGTTGTGGTATACAAAAGACATCTTTTTTCTATTTTCTTTTCTTTTTAAAATATTTTTCCTATTGTTACGGTATATTACATCCTAATTATATACAAGATTTCATTAAATTATCTTTGCAATATAAAAGGCAATTCAGTTGGAGAACTATGAGACTTACTCTCACCAAACATTATATATCACTAGCTTTAGATGACAATTTAATAGGTAATGGTTGTATAATTGCATTAAAAAAAGAAATTATGCCTCTACTGGTACCTTTAAACCTGAAATAAAGAAATATTCTTTCTAAATGTATGATTTCTCAATGCTTTAAATATAAAAACATTAAAATAAAATTATAGCTCTTCCTTATTACCCATCCATACTACTACTGGGCACCTACCCTGAACATCATGATCCATGATATGATAAACACACCTAGACATCCATGTTCAGTGTCTCACTATTTACAATAGTGAAGATATGCAAACAGCCCAGATGCCCCAACAGTAGATTAGTGGATCCAAAAAATATGCTATACACAGCAAAATTTTACATGGCCATTAGAAAGAATAAAATAGTGTCACTTTCAGGAAAATAGATGAAACTAGACCCAATCATGTTAGGAGAAGTAAGCCAAGCTCAGAGAGACTAATGACATATGCCTCACTAATATGCAGAAGTTAGAGCTAAAATGTTCCTGAATATGACAAATTATACAGCATTCTAGATATACCCAATAAAACCCAAAGAGGAGATTCTTAGCTGAGAAACATAGAGGTTCAATGCTTAAGTACCTCTTTAGATTTATATAAAATAATATACATGATGAAATTCACTCCAAGATATGGAAACCAAAAACCTCTTTTTTCTGTCTTTCTTTCCTTCCTGCTTGCTTGCTTGTTTGCTTGTTTTGTTTCTTTGTTTCTTTCTTTTCTTTCTTTCTTCTCTCTTTCTTTTTTTAAGCTTTTGATGATTCTGTCTTCTTTACTTTTTGTATGGTGTGTTCAATTGTACATCTTCAGGAGGGTGGGAGGGAGGGTACAAAATTCAAGGCAAAAAGTGTGAAAAAAATGAAGCAATGAAGCTCACTGGACACTGATGAAAGTGAGCTACAATTATCAAGGGTGGAGAGAGAAAGTGGGGCTGAGAGAGTGGGAACAGAAGACACTGGATGAAAGAAAATATACTCATTACTTCACTCATATAATTGTCATGCCTCTGCACATCACCTCTATAATAACAACGAAGTAAGTTAATAATAATAAAGATAAAACAAAATCATTCACAATATTCTTATTGTTTCAAGAAGAATCCTCATCAAAAGCTTTATAATATATACTCATGGAATACTATACAGAAAATATAACAAAAATCTGGGTTTATAGATTAATCACATAGCCACAGGAAAATTTAATTCACCCATTGAACATTAATCCTAATTGAACACCTTGATAAATCATGTAACAAAGGCCTAGAACTTACATCAACTACATATTGTCAGAGAAAACTAATGACTTAGGCAATGATGACAAGAAACAATTACATTTTTTGTGTTCTAAGCATCAATTATTACAGAATGATATGTATATTATTCTCACTGTTGTAATTTTGTTTAAATGAAACTAAAATTAATGTTAAAATATCAAAGTAAACAGGTTACCATGCACGAGTGCAGACATGTATTAACTTAAATATGGTAAAATCCAGATAACTCAAATAGTATAATTCCTAACAAAGGTTTCCTCACAATCCAACAAAATAAGCACCAGGAAATGAGTAACTGATAGGGGAGGGATGAGATCAAGGGAAAAGGTGGAGATGAATGAAGAGAGGAAATTGGGAGAATGCAGTCAAGAATTCAATGTACAGTCTAGAAAAATTAAGAAAATTGCGGGAGGAGTAGCAGTAGAAGGGATCAGGAGATTGATAAGAGAGAAGATGCTGATCAAGATACATTCTGCTCATAAACTACTGTTTGGAATAGCAACTCTTCTGTACAACTACTTACAGATAATAAAATGTATATAGACATATTAAATTACAGTTTCCTAGAGCATTATTAAGAGAGTAGGTTCAAGATAGTGATTAATTTTTCAGATAAAAATTAAAAGAAATTGAATTGAATAATTTAAGCTGATATCTAGCATACTGAAGTTCCACTGAATACGTTTTTTTTTTTTTATTTCCAGTCCCCAGTGGGCCACATTTATATTCCTAGCTACTGTGGGAGCTTAGATCTGGAAGATCACAGCTCAAAACGAGCACAGGCAAAGTAATCTTAGAGACTTCATCTCCAAAATAATCAGCAAATTGCTAAGCTAAGATTTAATGGCTTTGGCAACATAGTAACAGTACTACATACATATTGTTAATTTTTGTACATTTTTTATTGTAAAAATGCAATACAGATGGATTACAGTTGCATGAACAAGGAATGAGTACATTCCTATTGAGCATTGTTGCCTCCTCCTTTGTGACACTGTGGCTCAAGTGGTAGAGTGCTTGCCTGAGCTAAAGAGCTGAGGGATGGCGCCCAGGCCCAGAGTTCAAGCCCCATGACCATGACCACCACCACCAACAACAAAAGACATATTTTCATGTTTTACAAAAGCTTATGAACAATAAATTAGGAAGACTTCTATTGAAATATAATATCTTTTTAAGAATGAGCCGTACTATTTATGCATCCTCACATGATATATATTTTATATATTATATTCAGTATATAATTTTAATTCTATATTTATATAATATAATTATGCATTATTGCATAATATAATATATGAAATATAATAAATGTATTTTATCTGAAAAGGCCAAATTATACTTATGGACAAGTAATAAACTGGCTAGAAGTGAATATATGTCTTCTGAAAATTAAAGGACTGATAGGAATAATATAAAAGGGCTAACATTTTAACCATCAAAAGGATTACTATATTACTGTACTTGGATTTTGTTGCAATGGATTTTAGACTTTCATTTTTACAATTTTCCATTTTCATAATGCATATCATTCAACTTAAAATACTACTTTGAGTGGCCTATAGATATGAATTTCTAAGTAATTGAAAGTATTATATTTTCTTTTGATCCAAAGAAAAAGTACATCAATAAATGCATAATTTTACCAAGTCAGAACCAATAATTATTTATTATTGATTCATTTCTAAAGTTAATATTTTCCATGCATTTTCATAAAATACAATTTTTTCACTTTTAATAACTTTATAATTTTCCTGCCATAATATCTGATTTATACATTTGAATTTGTTATATTTGGAAGACTAACAGAAAACCTCTTGTTCCTTTGTCAATCCTAATTCAATTTTTTCAACCAATGGAAGAAACTGTTTCACTAATGTGTCTATATTATGTTCTATATCAATTGAATTAGTTCATGGTCTATGTCAATTCAATTAGTTCACTATGGTGCCAGAGCGTTAAAAAATGTATAAACCATGTTTAACATAAGAACGAATACCAAATATCGGGATTAAGTTTGAGACATTTCTAATGCTACAATCATACGGAAATTAGGTTATCTCTTAGAATCATAGACTAGTGAGAGCATTAATCCATCCTGAGACTGAATATGAGATATAAAATAAATTGTTATTTAGGTTATCTCTTAGAATCATAGACTAGTGAGAGCATTAATCCATCCTGAGACTGAATATGAGATATAAAATAAATTGTTAGTGAATACATGAATTATTTTTTACAAGCAGCTTCCTACTCTGTTTGCCAGATTGCTCATTGTAACCGTGGGTGATGGTGCAGTCATTGTCTGGGGAGAAAGAGAGACAGAGACATAAACAGAGACGGAGAGGCAGGCAAAGAGAAGGGAGGGAGAGGGAGAAAAGGAGAGAGGGTGGGGGAAGGGGAGAAAGAGAGGGACAGGGAGGAAGAAGGAGAGGAAGAAGGAATGATTGAAAAGGAAAGGAAAAGGGAGAATATCATGCATTTGAGTCACATGTTAATTTAAAAGCTTCATTCTGCTGTACCACACCTTTTATTGGCAAAAAAAAAAAAAAAAAAAGACAAGGCCAAACACGATTCTAAATGTAGAAAATTTCAGGAGATAGAGACAATCCGACCATATGCCTAGAAGTAAAACACTGAGTATTTGCTGAGAGTGATAATAATTATTACAAAATCCTATTTTTTTCAGAGGGGGTTAAAAAAAGGACATAGAGACCTTTCATAATCTTTCATATTGGCAAGATATGTATAGGGGTGATGAGAGGTAAGATAGTTTCTTATGTGAAATGCTGTTTGAAAA